TTTACACAAGGATAACTGGCTTGTGTGGTATGCTACACAAGAGATATCGGGGCAGCTCTTAAGAGTTTGTTCTTCCTTGTGCCAGAGAAGATGGAAATGGTGCTGCTGCCCTCACCCCTCATGGCATAGCAGGAAAGTACCTTACTCACTGGATAGAGACGGGGCTAATAGAGTTATCTAAACCCATTGCCCAATATGACTGAAATTTTTTTGTTTCAATCATAATGAAAAATAGGTTGAAATTTTTCTTTAAAATAAAGAAGCTCAGCCTATTTCCTTCAACCATCATCTTTCCACAATCCCTTCCACTTTATCAAAATATCCACACAATTATGCTTCAGGCTGGTTTTCTTCTTAATATTTCTTTCAGCCTCTTTAAGCTACATTTCTGGATCAATGCCCATACTAGCTGTCTTTCTAAGGAAATTAATTTGTATCATATCTTGGCCTCCTGCTTTTATTTCTCTATCATGCTTTTCAGAGATATATATTTGTTTGTGACGGTTTTGAGAGCTCAGTTCTCTCTTAATTTAAATCTAGCTATCATTCATCTGTCCTGGGGTGACTTTATGATGCTGAATTGTATCCCCATTTGTCTGTTTAGCTCAGAAATAAGTTTTGCACCTTTAAAACTAGGTCTGAGAATGAAGGGGGGAAGAAGGAGTGGTGGTGGAATGTCTGAGGCAGTTGTACTCAAAAACATTAGAGATAAGAGCTTTTCGTCTCACAGACTGTGTTGTCTGCAGCATGGACATGTGGGAGAGAGCTCTCCTTGGCTTTTTAGTTAGGTTTATTTTTAGCTAGCTGAGGTAGAGAAGTTCCTGGGCTGTGGTTTTTCTTTTTCTTGGAACTGTTCAAACCTGCTCTGGACTGAAAACCCAGAAAAGCACTGGGAGCTCACACCTGTGGCCTGCTGGGGCCAGGCATTTTCCAGCACAGGAGGGACTGATAAGAGACTGGGTGAGCCAAGATCCACCCCATGGAAAGGACTTTCTGAATTTGCCATCTCTTCAGAACAGCAAGAGGTTCCATTGTTCAGTATTATTCGTTTTTCATGCTTGTGAATATTTTGCTTGTTAAATAAACAGGTTTTTTCCCACTTTTCTCCAAGAAAATATTTTCCCAACCAGTAGGGGGAGGGGCCACCTGAATCTGCTTTCTAGAGGGACCTGTTTTGGAGTTTCCTCCCAAATTTGCCCTAAACCAGGCATCATCTTTCACTAGTCTTAAAACTGCAGCTGTTCCTGCAATAGCCTTTAACAGTTAATCAAAAAAGAACAGACATTTATAACTGCAAAATTCACATTGAACATTATCCTAGTAGTGTCAACCTAAAATTTTAGGCTTGATTTAGCACATGTCCTGCATTAGTCCCAGCCCAGCTGCTGCTCTGGGCACCTCTGGTGCACAGCTCCTGCTCTTTCACTCCACAGTTGTTGTACTGCAGCCCTATTTTCAGCAGCCTCAGATATTGCTCCTGCTTCATCACAGTAAAGATTGAGCCAAGAAATGTAATTATCAATTTATATGTAAGATACCACCACGAGCAGGAAAACAAATTATTCAGTCCTCTGCCAGCATCGATCTTACTAAAATTGTTGCATGAGTTAATTTTTTACCTCCATCCTCTCATAGATAATCAGGCCCTTTTCTAGTCCAAAAAGGAGATAATTACCCTAGTTAGAAAAAAATCAACTTCAGTCTGTACTTGAAATTTGAGGAGAAAAAGGGGGGGGGAAATAGAATTATGCAAAAGGAAAAAGCATTTTTCCTTCAAATAGGTCTCATTTCCATGTCATTTACTCATATAATAATTTTACACGAACTGGATTTTGGGGTGGAAAGACTATTTGTGAGGAACAGGGAAAGAATACTTGCCTGTGTTAACAGCAATTATCCTCAAGCTTTATTTTTCCAAGGGAGGAAGAGGCTATTAGAGGCATCTGTTTACCTAAGAGTAAGAAGCAGCAAAGGCTGTATCTGGCTGCCCTTCTAGGCACCCTTGTTCTCCCACATTGTGCTACCAGGGACCCACATGCCTGTGCTGCTTTGAGCTTCTGCTATAGACAGACCCAGCCTCTCAAATGCATCACATTTTTAAGCTTTGGCATTGTTAACCACACATAACTTCTGTTAAATTTCTGCTAAGGCAGAAATATCATAAGAGTAATATTGCTTACAGTTAAATAATAACAGTAATATTGCTTACAGTTAAATTCTCAGTACAGGAAACTGTGTAAAAAAAATAAGATCCTCTAATTTTAACTCAGTCTCCCTTGGGTTGAGACTGAGAAGTTTGAGCTGAAGTGCATCATTCAAAGTTAAAGAAAGTGAAACAATTGCATGAAAGACTGCATAGCTGATTATTTTTCCAGCACAGACTAGACTATAAACATGTTTCACATTACTGAGCACTTACACATGGTACCAAAAATTACCAGTTAAGAGCAACAACTTACCCAGCCTATCCTTTGAAACAGAGCAAAAGCCTCAGAGGCATCAAGCACTGTGAAGCCCTGAAGCTCTTTCAGCAGAGGAACAAGTAAATCCTTTGTTCTTCTCCAGATGTTTCTCTTCTCATGGATACATCTAAGGCTTTATCCCACCTGAACATCAATGATGTTTTCAACACTATAATTTCACCAGTTACAATTCCAGTGGCTGAGCATTCCTGGAATAAACATGCCAAACGGCTTCTGTGTGAATCTTGTGTGATTGCCCAGCCTCAGATCTGCCAGGTGAACCACATTAAAAAGACTTGAAAAGGTATCCTTTGAGCTGTGGGGTCTCTCCCACATCCCTGAAGTCTGAAAGTACCTCACAGTCAGGATTTTTCTTAAGCAAATGCAAGAGCACCCAGAGAAGAGTGCATGGGAACTCACTCCCATGACCTCTGAAGCATGGTTATGGGACTGCCTTCCGTGGAGACAGACTCCCCATTTCAACCAGAGTTTCTTGTCCCTCTCCCTACTTCCTTCAGCCTGGAATCCCTTTCTGCCCACTTTGCCTGCCAGTTTGTTCTGCTGGTACAGAACAGGAGACAATCCCTTCTGCCTTGCTGCCACAAGGACCAGAGTGATCAAAACTCAGCAGCTGGGGAGAAGGGAAGCAGGCAGCTTTGCTCCCTGCTGCCCACTGGCATGACTTTCTCATAGGTATTTAACATGCAGCATTCCCATGTTGAAGCACAGGCAAGTTAAAAATAATTCCACTACAGGGACACTACTTTATACTCATAGTGGCATTCTCCATTTTCATAGCTACATAGCACAAAATTAAAATATATCAAGACCTCTACAATGATCAAAAATGTTTCAGACACCCTAGCCCTCCCTTGCCATAAAGGATGGGAGGAAACCAACACACTGGTGTAATCAGTCTATACAGGTACAGCAAACCATGTGGTACAGGTACAGCTGCTGCCCTAAGGAAGCTATTCTGAAATGGCTTAAAATGAGATTTGTAAGGGTTTGGGGCCAGCTCTTGCCTTTCTTCTGAAGGATAAACTGAATTATCTCTCTGAAAGGAACATAAAGTATTCCTTTCATATAAGCATTCAAGAAGCTATTTTTTTGCCTATTTCACAAGAGCTGCCTGTGTATTTGAGCTTTCCAGTATCTTGCCCCTGAGTGAGCCATAATTTATAAAAATTCAGATTCATGCTGGGCAAGAAAGGAAAGAGGACCCTGGGAACCAAGAGCTGCAACCGTGAGAGCTGAAAGTATTTGGCTGATGGTTTGCAACAGATGGCTTACCTTAAACACTACATTTCCTTCCCTAAGTGTATAGAAAATTATTTAAGACATTACAACAAGGTTTTTAATATAGTACTGATGCTTTCCTATTTAAGAACCATCTTTCCCTCCATAATGTTGGCCTACCGCCCAAGAATTCAGCATAGGGCTGCTCTTCAGTGCAAGTTTAGGATTTACCAACCCATCCACCACCTATTTCCCTTGTGACAGAGCTCCACATTGTGGGAGGAACGTGCACAGGAGCAACAAAAAAGAGGGACACTGAGAAGAGAAAGCATTGTCCAGAATTTACTCGCTATTTCACTGCATTACTGTTTTTCACAGTAATAACATCAGGCAAAAACTCCAGTCTTTCTTTTTTCAAAGAGAGCAGATATGATAACAACATTGTTTTATCCTAGTCTTCCCAAGCATGTTTGATGCAGCACAGAAATGGGGAAGTAGGGAGCCATCCAAGTCCAATCAACTATTTAAATACAGACCCAGCTAAGCTGATGGTAAGTTTAGATGTCTGTGAACATAGGCATGGATCAGCCTCCAGAAACAGCCACATCTGAAGCTAGTAAATGTGTTCATCTTGCTGAAGCAATGATTTACTGAGAAAGTGCATGTGTTAGAATTTTCTATGCTGTCATTTCATACCTGTTTAGTTTCTCAATTAATGTTAGAGTTTAAAATGTAAACTGCATGTTTACCTCTATTATTTTTCAGAAAAGTTAATAAAAGAGGTACTGCCTATTAGTTATCTAAAATGCAGGATATGAGAATCAGAATGCAATGACCTTTAAAAATGAAGTTGCTCAGTACCATAAAATTTTGTTTGTATGCCATGGCTGGGTGACATTTTGTTGTGCCAATTTTGTACTTGGCAAAAGCTTCAATTAAAAAAATAATTCTTCCAGCCTGTTAGTGACAGTGGTCAGCCTATTCTCTGTAACAATTTTTTCTTTTATTGCTGGGGAGCAGGCTCCATGGCTCTGGAAGACCTGCGCTGACTGGCAGGGAGCAGCAGCAGCAGCAGCAGAGCTGTTCTATCAGGGGAGGCAAGCCAGGAGCTGAGGGTGACCACAAGGCAGACAGTGCCTTCTCCAGCATGGATCAGTCCCTGAGCTGGGCAAGCAGGGCACAGCAAAGACTGGCAAAGGCAGGGTGACAAATCAGGTCTCAGCCTTGGAGATACAAACAGGCATGTCAGGGAGCTGGCTGGGAGCACACACTGCTATCAAATAGCTCACAGGCCCTGATAGCAGCACAGGACAGTCCAGCCACCCCACAGGTGTTGAAGAAAATGACAGTCCTGTCCATCTGCATCCCTAAGCCATATGACATCTTTCAGCTTCTCCAAGAAGGTAAGATCTCTGCCTCGTTGTAGTCTCCTTCCTGACTCCTTCTTGTACAGGTTCAGTGATTCATAGGTTTATGATGCAATATTGCTATATCAGCATACACTTTCACTAGAGGGTCAAATTAAAATTGCATGGAAAGGCAAAATTTGGGCATTTCTTGTCTGCAGCACCATTTTAAACATAATTTATGTTTAACCCAGATGGGCCATCTGAACTGTCCAGACTTTCAGACTATAAAAATACACACTTAACATACTGTTAAGTTAACATACTGTTAAGTTGCTGATTCACTTTGTAAGTACTTCTTAAATGGAAGAAAAATAGTTTCACAGCAAGGACATTGTTCATTTAATTCTAGCATATAGGGATGGGGTCAAAGATAATGATTTCTGCTGCATAAAAGTTCAATAATCTACATTGATCTCTCATTTCCTCTACATTTCATTTAGGAAACCTACTGCAGCAATATTTAAGTGTCTGACTAGAAAGGAAGTGGAAAACACAAGGTTTCACCCTTTCAAAGACATTAGTCATTGGAACACAGGTAAGCAACCAAAAATACTTTGAGGAGTAGAATAGAAGAGTTTGAAGTTTGAAAGCAAATGCTAGGGAAAAAATCCACTATAAAACAGCAGAGAGGGAGCTCTGAAACCTCAGACACGGAGAGGGACTCAGTCAAAATTTGAATAACAAGTGAAGACCAGAAGCCAAAATTACAGTTTTCCTGGCTGTTACGTTTTGCATGAATGATGCAGATTGTAGTTGTCGTGTGGGGGCAGGAGACAGACCTAAGGCTCCCTCTGTTGGAGGGAGCACCGCCGAGCATCACCCCAAATGAGCTAAACAACAGCAGTGAACTGCAATATTTACACCCAAGTGACTGCTCGGCAAGTCTGACTGCTGGACAACTGCCAGGAGGGGACAGAGAAGGTGGGGAGATGACACCTGTAATTTCTTCAGAGTTCTGTTCTCCCATGTTCCCTAGCTTTTTCCCTGGGAGTCAGACAGGTACTAGCACAACTTGGCCCCTGCAGAGGTATTTCCTGTGACAAAGGAGAACCCTCCTCTAACACATGCACACAGTGGCATTTGGGCATTCAGATGTTGCCATGCTATTTTGGAATGCAGAAAGTGCCGCTTTTTCCTCTGCAGTGTGGAATTAGACGCACCGAGCCAGCAGTCCTCAGATTGCTTTTCTGCATCCCCCTCACCATAAGTGTGTTCTGCATTTTGGATGCTCCTCCCACGTAAGAGCTGCTTTTGGTTTGGATGGATGCAGGGTGAGTGTTGCCTGGAGTGTAGCAGGGAAGATGGCAAGCAGAGGGCAGAGGGAGAAGGGGACAAAGCAGCCCCTGCCAGCCTCAGGAGAAGGCTGTAACTGCTGCAAGCGACAGAGCCAAGCCAGCACCCCTGGGCAGGACAAGGAGACAATAGAAGAAGAACGTTTTTTCCTGCAGCTCTCAAAATCCACAGATTGCCTCAGCCACACTTTTTTGGTGAAGCCTGCCTCTCACCCAAAGGGAGACTTTTAAGCACTTTGCTCCCTGGTAATTTTTTTGCTTTCCTACCTCCCCTGCTCATCTTTCAGCAGTTCCCCAGGGACAGGCCATCTTCCCTCACCAGAAGATGTATTCCCCAGATCCATAATGAAGCATCCATTATCAGTTTTAGAATAGCTGTGCTAAAATGCCATGTCCTCTCCAAAGATCATAAACAGTAGCCCACAGCCCAGGATCCAATTAATTAATTAAGATGTATAGCTTTACTGAAGAAAATTGTTGTCAGGCAATGAGAAAACCAGGCAGGATAAGAAAAGCACACATAAAACAAAACAAAACACACACACACACACACACACACACACACAAAAAAAAAAAAGTGAAAGTGTTGACTCATATTGTTATTAACTCAAGGCCTCAAGAGAACTACACACACACACACACACACACACACAAAAAAAATGAAAGTGTTGACTCATATTTGTTATTAACTCAAGGCCTCGAGAGAACTGTGCTGATGTGAAAGTTAGAAAACTGAGGGAAAAAACCTCGGAAGGCAGGTAGAAGACAACAGCTCTTCAAGACAGAGATTATCCTCCTCCGAAGAGCAACATGACTGACAACGGTGTGACCAAGAAGAACATGTTGCCCTGGGGTGCTGAGGCTTGCATGCCAGACATGTTAGGCTATTTATCCCCACGGGTTAAGCCTGCTCCCTTCTGTGCACATTCACCAAGCAATAATTGCTGGGTACTCAAAAACCTGTGTGCTCCTGCTTGCAGTCCTCTGTGCATGGAAAAAGATGCCCAAACATTAGTGAGCCAGTGGAAAGAAGGCTCACAGTCCAGATGCTCAGGTGGCACTTAAGTGTGCCACTTCCTTCTCACCATACTGCTGTTCCACTTGCCCAAACTTAAATAGAGCTCAGTTCTGAATCTCAGAGCCTAACTGTAATGCATTCATTTCACAGTTCAGATCAGCAAGTGTTCACATGTATTTGCTTTAAGCACTACTGCAAATAGCAGGCTGTTGGTTTCCTTACTTGCTAGAAAAAAACATTTCCATCCACTTTTTCTCAGCACCTCAGCATGGGGATCATTTCCTCGAGCCACTGTGCGGTGGTAGCCCACCTTGCAGCAGCAAGGCAAGCTATGGTTTTGATTCTGCTATTATTGTTTTTTCCATTTAGATCAGTTGATATTTTTTGCTTTTTGAGGAAATTCTAACAGCCATGGCTGAAAGCCTTCCCTGCTCTAACATGGCAGATGTTTCAGCACCTGTCATTGTCCCTGGGTATAACAGAAGATGTTAAAAGGAATGGTGGGAGGGGGAGGGGGGAAAACAAGCAAAACAAACAGACAAACAATGATTTATTTAAGGTCCCAAAGAGGGAAGTCTCCCAAATATTAATTTTTGGGGGTTGGCAAAACTGAAGTCAGCCAAACAGAGTCCAAAAGAAACATTAAGGTAGATAATTATTCTGTTCCAGCTACTGTCTAAATCTCAGACAGGAGGGAGCTTCAGGCACTCCTGATGTTCTATTGCTGAAGTAGCAATTATCTTATCTCCCTTTCACAGTGCTATTATGCAGTCTCATTTGAAGGAAAGATGTCCTGAAATAAAAGATTTAAAAATACTCTTTTGTTCACAGGTTCCTTTTAAAAAGTGTTGGTTTTTTTCTGTTTCCTTTTTTAAGTGACTTTTATTTGACAAAGGAACCTCATAATTTCATTGAATTTAAGATTAGGTCATTAAACCTGAGACACTATTGTTTGTTACGCTCATCCATGACTCTCTACCAGGACATTTCATTTCAGCAGTGGTCATCATTAAAATCATAATTAAAATATTCTTAATCAGTAAAACTAGAGACAGTATGATGTACACCAAAGACTACTTTATCTCTCTGCAGTCTGTACATAGGAAGACTTGCCATGAAGGTTCCTGCAATATTTGCTGGACATCTCACATAGCCAGTAAACATTTCTCAGCACTTCAAAGTTAGTGACAGCTAAGCACAAGGATTCCTGTTCTCCAGGCTCATTCTGACAGTTTAGCACCTAATACCTTTTTTGCAAAAGTCAATTGCTGTCAAGGTGCCAGTAATCACAATCTCCATATAGCTTGGATAAATATAACACTTTGACAACTATCAGTAGACCTGTGAGAGAGACCAAACCCTTTGGAATCAGTATTTGAGACAAAAAAAAGAAAAAAAGCATTATCAAATGAATCCATAAGACAGATGTATGTCAAAGAGAGCCTCAAATATGGAAGTAGAATAGCTGAAATTAGAAGAAGCTCAGTAATTCAGTTTAAGCAAACAATAAGTAAGTAGAATAGCTGAAATAAGAAGCTCAGTAATTCAGTTGTCCCATGTTCCTTGTTCTTCATCTGCTAACAAGAAGAAACATGACTTCCAATTTCACCTAAGTAGTCAGCATTCCTGTCAGCTGCTTTGCATGAAGTCAGACCAAACTCAGTCCAAACATTTTAGTCACCATTAAACTCCAATTATGTTAGAATCTATGATGTACAACAAGGCATTAATATTGACCTCTCACATAACAGGGCCTTTAACTACTACAAAAAAATTACTTTTCAGCATGGACAGTGACAGGATTTAGAGAAGATAAATAAATTTCCCTAGAAGGTGACAATACCATTCTGACCTTGACTGAGATCTTGATGTTACATTTAATACAAATTAATACAGCCTTGTCTTATTAAAAGGTGCAGATCAGCATGTGTAATGATTGTGGCACAACAGTGAACATCTGCTGAGCACAGTGAGATTAACCTCATGCCAAATGGTTTCCTTCCAGCATAGGTCAATAACTACAACAGCTGGCTTTCAGTACAACTCTAACCAGATGTTTTATATAGTAAACTCTGTTTTAAATATTAAAAAATGTCCTGGTTTCTGCTGGGATAGAATTAATTGCCTTTCAAGTAGCTGGTAAAGTGTTGCGTTCTGAATTTAGTGTGAGAGTAATGTTGGTAACACACAAGTTTTTTAGCTCTTGCTAAGTAGTGTTGATACTAAGTCTAGGACTTTTCAGCTTCTCATGCACTGACAGTAAGAAGGCTGGAGGGGCAGCAGAATTTGTGTGGGGATACAGCTGGGACAGCTGCTCTAAACTGGCCCAAGGGATATCCCATACCACAGGGCAACATGTCAGCATGTAAACTGCTGGGGAGAGCTGGCCCAGGGTCCCTGCTCAGGACATGACTGGGCATTGGTCAGCGAGGGGTGAGCAATTGCAACACCTCTTCTATATATTATTATCATCATAATCATCATCAATAATAATTTTCTTCCTTTTCTGTCCCATTAAACTGTCCTTATCTCAACCCAGGGGTTTCCTTGCTTTTACTCTTCTGATTCTCTTTCCCACCCTGGCTGTGTGGCTCTTCATTGCTGGATGGGGTTAAACCACAACAAATATTAATTACTGCAGTAGCTGTGTCTGCAGCTGCCCTGACCATAGAAAGCCTCCTTCCATCATGCACTGTCTCGTAGACTCCCCCTAGAAACAGTTTGCATCAGCATATCATAATTTCTAGAATTCTGTTTAGGCCATTAGTTGGGAATCCCAGCATCTCAGCATTTCTCTCCCAGAGCAGACAGACTGCTTCTTCATGCTCTCAGAGGTAATGATGAGTGAGGTTGCAGATGTAGCTTTGCTGGTGGGAAGGTACATATTTAGTAAATAGAACATATTGCTATGGTGGCATACCATTAGCACCTGGAACTAAATAACCGGGTCCCAGGAGCACAATGGCTTTACAGTTTGCAAATGCATTGTCAGTTGAAAGTGAAGCTTCAAGAGGAAAGTAGTTAAATGGGGACTTTTTCCATGGTATCCTATTGTTTGGTTTGAAGGAAAAAGTCCAGATACATTGCAATGCATTTTCAGTTTTCCAACAATATTGAACAGTGAAACCCCATTCAAAAGATTCAAAAGCACCCACATAAAAATAAAATTTATCATGACATTCCAGCTTCAGAGTAGAATATGTGCTCAAGGGTACAAAGATCTCTGAACAGCCGGCTGGTTGCAATATTCCTTGAGGTGTTTGCTAGAAAAGATGTTTTGCTGAAGAACAATGTAGTAGAAAATCCATCCCTACATTGTTGGAACTACCCAGCAAGTCTGGCAAGTGAGTTTACTTGATTAATAAGTGTGCCTCGAATGTTCCTCACTTGAGAGAATTTTAATTCTTCAAAACTCCAAGGTATACCCTAAAATGTAGTCTTCACTCATGGAATTCAGCAGCTGGCCAGCTTAAGAAGAGACTTTGTGTAACCACAGGTAGACCACAGGTAATTCAATTATTACTAAGCTTTATTCAGGTATGCAGGTTATGAAGCAAAAAAGATCACCATGTCAAAGCTTAAGATAACATACAGACAACATCTGTAAGTCTGAATCACAAGCCAGAACTCCCTTTATCTCAAACAGAAGATTAGTATGCCTATTTAACAGACAAGGTATGAAAGACAGGCAAATTCTTCACGAGAGATTGTAATAAAGCCAGGGGAGGGTGGACTTTAGGATGATTGTGATGACCATGCCTTAGAAGCCCTGTTCTAAAGGTTCACGATAAAATACTGTGCTGGGCTTTTACCACATTCCTAATAGGAGGAAAGGGAGCTGGATCTGCATATGCTACACTCATCACATGAAGACTTTGTAATCATCTTTTGGAAATCAGCATAGAAAAGAATGTCCTCATCAGAGTTTGCAATTAATGTAGGTGAACTATAACATCTGGTACAGGATTAACTGGGAAATCTCTGCTTTCTTTTGTGTTCCCTAGTCATTCTGCAGAGCAAATGTGAGCAGACATGATGTTAATTAGCGTGGATTCTCTGTGGCATCATCATGCACACTTACCAGAACTAGCTATCTCACTTCTGCCTGCTGCATGAAGGACAGGTTTTCTCTGAAGAGATCTGTTTTCCTTGCAGAAAAGCTGAAATGCTATGCGGTCTGTTTGCAGTAGTCTTGCAGTACTTCCCGTGTCAATAACTTAAAATCAGTCTCGCACCATCTCTTCAGGATGCTGAAGTTCTCCAAACCCCCCGAAATGTGTGTGGCCACTGTCATTTAGCAGAGAAGTTGTTTTCCATGGGCAAAAGTGGCAGCAAGCCTTCATTACTCATTCAGACCAGACTTGCACATCACTAACAAGCTTCCTTGCACCAGCCTTGGACCCTTTGAAAAATGAAACCACCCCTCACTTTTATGCCTTGATTTGAGTTGCCTTGATTTGCAGCCTGTTCTGTCCTTGAAGAGAGCTGGTGTATGCCAAGGGCTACCCTTCCTCTTGTAACACATAGGACAGAGACACCACAGAAGCTTATGTGAGCAAATTCAGACATCAAGGCTGAGCTTAATTTTCAGTTCCAGCTGCAGAGGAGCCAGTCCTGTGGCTATTGTCAACAGTGCAGTAGAACTCAGCACTACAATTTCACTTCACAAAGATCACGCTGGATTTTAAAAACCCAAATCTAGGCTCAAAGACTCAATAAGGTCCTTAAGTTAATGAAATAGAGAGCCAAAAAGCTGACAGTACCCATCTTTGCAGAGCAATGCCTTTCAGCAGGCTTCCATTCATTCTCCCATCCATACATATGGATGCCCATAGCAAATCAAGGGCTGGACTGCAACAAGAGTTCAAGTCCCTTCCCTTCCTTTCCAAAGCAGGACCACCTGTACTAGAGATGTCCTACTTATACCAAAGACACTTTTATACTCCTAGTAACTGATCAAGACTGCCTATAAAGGATTTTTAGGGTTTTTTTTTTCTGGCCTAGGTTCAGTGGATCATTACAAAAGTCTTCATAAAACTGCCCTTACTTTGGTCTTTGGTTCTCAAGAGCTAGAAAAGTGGGATTGCTCCTGTCTTCTTGCTGTTTAGTTTGCAATCTCAGTTCTTACTGCTTCAGTTGCTGGCACAGTGGATCTTTATAGTGCTTCTGCCAAGGAGATTTACTGCTGTTGCTTCAGGGTCTGATTGAGCTATTGGTAAACTTCCACCCTGCTCTCCCAGCTATTTTATTTGAAGTTTCAGATTATCTTCTGGGCTCAGTTACTGTATTTTCATTATATGCCAGATACAGAATTATCTGATTTTCCTCTAGCCTTGACAAAACAGTCCAACAACTGATTTAATTTGAAAAAAAATCTTTTTTATATGTAAACCAAACAAAATAGAGGAATCCAAGGCATTACAGAGGAAGCAATCAATTTGTTTTGATCAGGCACAAGCATTTTTCTTCCCCCTAAAATCAGGGAAAAAAACATCCAAATCAGAATAGGTCCATTACCCCTGGAAAAAAAAAATTGGTGTAACCTCTACCAACTTTGCTCTCTCACTTTGAACTCCAGCTTACTTCAATCACTCATCCCTTCCTTTGGACAGGAGACTTATAAAAGTCTAACAAATACTACTCCTACTTCTTGGCTGACCCTAAATACCCATGCCAATGGAGGGGAGCAGAGCTTTTCGGAGGAAATGCCACATAAATCTGATGTTCCTCCTATGCAGTTTGTGTGTCCATGAGACATCAGGCTGATATGGCATCAGTAATACTGAGCATTGCAAGGTCAGAGCCAAAGTAACCCAAAGCCTGTTATTTTGCAATACATGATGACACAGCTTGGGCAGGAGTAATGATGCTATCACAATGAAACTAAGGAGTTTATATGTGCCATATATGTAATAGTTAAAAAAAAGGTCATCTTATTCAAATAATGTTAACGCTGTTTTGATTGAGGTACTTTTATGTCTTATTCCAAATTGTTTGTAAACTTAATAAAGCAGATATTGGGTGAATTCAGGCTGTTTTTCAAGATACTTGCAAATTTAATATTTATCACTGCTGCACATATTATTTTAGTCTATGACTAATCCTGACACTATACCTGTTATATGGCAAGTGCAAAAGTAACTATTGAATAAGGCAGATTAAGTATGCTAGAATTTCCAAATACATACTTTGGAAAGGCATATATAAGATTTATAAGTAAGATATTAAAATGACATGGTTAGAGTGGGCTGGAGTGAAATGAACTTGAGATCTCTGGTACCTGCTTTTGTCTTGATTCAACCACACCAGAGAGAGATTTTGAGTATAAAAACTGACCAGGTTTGAGCTCTGTTTAGAAACTTGCCTGAAAATTAAATGTAAAGGCTGTTAAATATATATCCTTTTTCCACTGTGCAAGCATAAATTATTTCCTGTAATAAATTTTTTCTGTACATGTTACTAGGCTGTATATAGATCAGAAATGGATATTTATAATTAGCCTGTATTTGTCTTCACCTCTATCTTTGTTTCCAAGGGTTGCTATGGATAACTGTTCTTCCACCTCCTGTGTACTCATTTTGCAGGTCTTCTGAGTTTCACAAGGATGAATCCTCTCTTCCATCCCATTCAGTATTGATACAATGACCTGATGAAACAACCTAAGTGAAATATGGGCACTACTGCAGTAAGCATTACATATCTTGCCATTAAACCTTAAAAAAATAATCAGTGTTCCTGTGTCTTCCTGGGACATCTGCCTCAAGCAGTGTAGGCAAATTAAGAAATATGCAGACTAGAGAAATATTTCCAGGATTTTGCCTCTTTTCTAACCTCATATTTCTTGAGAATGCCAAAATATGTGCGAAGAACCATGCCCAATTGCTAAAAATTACAAAAATGTCCACTTTCATTTATATTAAGCCAAGATACCACAGCCCATTTCCTTAGACGGATGTTGCCACAGGAATCCATTATGGTCTGATTTATTTCAACATATATCTGGAAATAGTAAGAACTGCAGTGAGATACCTGCTACTAAATATTTTGCTGAGCAAGGAAGATTACTTTCAGCTCAGCACTTCATCTTCGAGAGACTGAGTTCTCTCAAAGAGGAGCGGCCCTGTGATGGCCCAGCTGTATTGCTGCCAGAGGGATCTCCAGCCCTTCTCTGCAGTGGCAGGATGGCTTCTGTTCTTGCCCTCCCAGGACCTGGAAGATGCTGAGAGAGGAGGTGCATAAATGTGAGAATCTGACCTTGCTCTGTGCCATTAGAAGAGAGTTAACTTTTTTCTGGAAGTAAAAGTGGATTATTGGATTTACGGCAGGAGTGATTACGGATCCCCCAGTTTTCGGGCAATGTGCGTGACTCCCGGCAGAGGCCAAGCTTTCCCAGCGTGTAGCCACACAGTGCCTGGCGGATTGTCCGCCTCTGCCCCTCACACTGACCTGGCAGGGGGATGGAGCGGCAGCTCCAGGTCACGGTGCCGGCTGTAATGGCAGCCTTGACCCCCGCCTGGCCCTGCCGCGGCAACACCCCACGCTGTCGGGCGGACCGGGAAGCCACCGTGAATTTTAGAAACCCCGCGGGAAAGCGAGAGCTCTGGAAAGAAGCGCTGCTCCCACACCAGAAACTCTGACCCGGCGGGACTCGTCCTTCCTGCACAACATATCCCTCGCATCCCTCTGTCTTTCCGCATCCTTTGGCCCTGCTAGCATCCTCCTCTCCTTCCACACCCCTGTGCCCATTTCCCCACATCCCCCCGGTCTCCGCATCCCCCAACACGTCGTCCCGCACCCCCTGCCCGGGCACGCTCGCAGCCGCGAGCTCCTGCCCGGTATCCGCGCACGCCGGGAGCCCCGGGAGCAGCGCCAGGGGGCGGCTCGCGCTCCGGGGCAGAGCCGCCGCGGCCATGACGTCACCCTGCTGCCGTCCCCGCGCGGGACGCGCGCCAGGAGCCCGCAGAGCCGCTGCCGGGAGCGCTGGGCCCGGGCAGCCGCCGCGCCTGCAGCTCTCGGCGGGGCCATGCGGATGGCGGTCGGTGCGGCAGCGGGCGAGGGGGCAGCGCAGAGCCCCGGCCCCGCCGCCGTGTCGCTGGGCTTGAGCGTGGCCGTGGTCTCCAGCCTGGTGAACGGCTCCACCTTCGTCCTGCAGAAGAAGGGGATCGTGCGGGCCCGCGGGAGAGGTAGGGGCCCGGCGCTGCGGTGGCCGCGGGTGGGAGCGCCCCTCCCGGCGCTTCCCGGCCTCCCTCCCTCCGCACCCCGCGACCCCCCGGTAACCTGCCAGGTGTGCGGGGCCTCGGCTGCCCCCGCCCGGGGCGGCCCGGCCACCCGCGGGGCCGCTCCTCCCTCGCCCGCAGCCCTTCCCCGCGCTGCGGCGGCGCCGGCCCCGAGCGGAGGGCAGGAGGCGGCCGGGCTGCGCAGGGACCCGGCCCGCCCCGCGGGGCAAGGAGGACGGGCAGCCTGGGCTGTGCCGGAGCCTGTGTCGGGGGCTGGCCGTGTCGCCTGGTGTGCGGGACACCTTCCCGGCGTCTGGCCCGGGGAGCCGGCTTGAGTCTGTCACCTTAAGCGTGTTGGACATCAGAGGTCCACGGTGGACCGAGGCGCAGGGGAGGCGATAAGTGAGCGGGGAGGCGGCAGGTGGGGTCAGTCAGGATGTGCCGGCGGCGGAGAGCAACGAGCGGTGTTTAACTGCGCATCAGCAACAGCTCCTGGGGTACGGCCAGAGCGCTGCCCTGGCACCCTGTAACTGCGCTGGGGACTTGAGTGCTGTCTGCGCTCCTCTCCACACACAGATTCTTCTTCTTCACGAACTTGTGGGACTTTACCAGCAGTTTCTGTGGCTTAGATAGTTTCTTGCCATGAACAGCATCAGCACGTCTTGTTGCTTGTTTATTCCGGCACTTCCACAGATGCATGCAAGTTGTATCAGTCATGTGGTGGTTTCCACTTTTTGAGAAGAGACAGATCAGTAACATAAAACAATTTATTTCTTATATTTTTCATATTGAAATCCCATGCCTCATTATTATTTCCTGAGATGAACATATTCAGGAACCGACTGTGCTGTCTAGACAGTTTAGCCAGAACAAAGCTGTAAATTCACAAGTGTGAAGATCTTTTGAATTTTATTTTGAAATTTGAGCTCCCCAAAGCATGCACCTGAACAGTATTTGCTAGTTGCATCTTCATGCTTTGAACATAGGAAAATGCAATTTTAAAACATTTATTTGTTTTTAGTATCCTGCTTTTATGTAAGGGGAAGACTGTGAACACAGGTTGCATCATGCCTTTGAATTATATTACTGTGGTCAAAAGCCATTTGTTTTTGTAGGTGATGGTGTCTGTGTTGGAGCATGTGTCCATAAGTTCTAAGAACTCTTTTTTATGAAAAATTTTTTTTAGTTCCAGGACGAGGTATTTTCTCTGTATACATTGCATGTATGCAAATATGTACATATATGTACACATACAAATATATATATATATGGGTATTACTGTGGTCAAAAGCCATTTGTTTTTGTAGGTGATGGTGTCTGTGTTGGAGCATGTGTCCATAAGTTCTAGGAACTCTTTTTTATGAAAAATTTTTTTTAGTTCCAGGACGAGGTATTTTCTCTGTATACATTGCATGTATGCAAATATGTACATATATGTACACATACAAATATATGTACAAATATATATATATGTATATATTTGTATTTGCATTTCCATTTCCTGCTGCATCTAGCATGTTCAGGATGAATGCAGTGGAGCAAAGCAAGCTTGGAACTATGTTACTACAACCTGGCAGCCTGATCTAAAAAGGTTTTTTTTTTTGCTTTTTCTGCAATGACCTTACATCTGAAGGCATCAGACAAACTTTTGTTTTGCAAGCATAGTCTCCCTTTCCCTCCCAAGATTGCTGTAACACATTTTGATTGTCCACAGAGAGATCATGTTCTAAAAAGGAATACAAACCTGTTTTTTTTTGTTTTTTGTTTTTTGTTTTTTTTTTTGTAAGGGAAACAATGAGAAAACACAAGAGAAAAATAGTTTTGCATCCCAAGGCAGCAGGAGGAAGTTTCCATTTAGAGTGTACTTACTCCTGAAGAGCTTTCAGTGGAGCACAGGGTTAAGTGAGTGATGAGCATGTTCCCGTTTTCTCAGTGCTAGCAGCTGTAAAACTTCCTGTTTTGAAGATAGTACTGGTGTTTGTGCATCTTGCTGAGCATGTTGTAGTTCTTTCTATTGGCATGCTCAGTGGGGACACACCCAGGAAAATACCCCAAGTTTCTATCTATTTCATGGTGTGAAGCAGTAGGGATCTGCCTTAAATCTAGCAGTTGGAGCTGTGAGTCTGAGATGGCCAGTGTCAAATGATGTCTTCTTTCCATTGTCTTCAGCAGGTGTTGTATAATTAACAAGGAGGCACTTCAAGTCTCTTCTGTCTTCTCTCTTGAATCAATAATATAATATTGATGTCATTAGCAATCCTTGTCTCGTTAGAAACAGCAGTGGGTGACAAATATTTTGCAAAGTTACCTTACTTGAGTCAATATTTTCTATAATTTCTGCCCGCAACAGTGTTTTTATTTTCTATGCAATAACAAAAGTCTAAAAAATTACTACGCCCACTCTAAAGCTGGCCATTTTCATTAGTCATATTTCATCTCTTTTCAATTGTATAGTGTGATTTCCAAGTGCTTAATACTTTATATGTCTCCAGAGTTAGTGATAGCTGGTTTTTTCTTCCATTTGGGATTTCAGAGTAGGTACAATATTGCCTACTACTCCAGCAGCTTTTAAGAGGGCATCTTTCCAAATGAATGCAGAGCTGTATTGCTAGAAAGGGGAGCAAAACATAGGAGCATGACAATGCCAAGGCTGTGCTCAGAGAAGGCCGTGCTTTAGTTTAGGAGGTGGTCATGAGCCTTGATGTTGTACAGAAGCAGAACTTCTGTGGTGCACAGGCTCCACCTGGGCACATCCCAAGGCAAGAGGTTATAATCTGACAGTGAAAATAATCATCCTCCAGTTCGGGAGGCACTAAGGACAATGCAGAGATTTTACTCCTCACTGAAACAGTGAACATTAGGAATTCAGAGGCTTCAGTTGTAGCCCTTTCCAATGCTTAAATGGAGGAGCATGGGGCAACACCATGGTCCTGCCAAACCTGTGGGCCAAAACTGCCTAAATAATTTCTCACCTGCAATTTTTCCAATACAATTTCACTGAGGCTGTATTAGAAAACTAACTGAGCCAATTCATGTTCTGTTTCCATGGGTTTACAGTTCTCCTAGAAGTGGTTCTAATTTGTATGTTTAAATGTCACCCTCAGAAGCATTTGGTGACATTTTGGATGCTTTCTACACAATACTGCATTAGTGTCACATAGGTGGTACTTCAAACTGGAAACCAGAACTTCTGACTAAAACATTGTCTTAAGAAGGTCTTACTTGGAAACATAAGCCAAATCCAAAACGATTCAAACTATTCTCTTTTTTTTTTTTCTTTGTTTGTTTTGTTTTGTTTTGTTTTTTAATCTCAGATTCATTTGCCTTGAAAAGTAGATTTAAGATTAAGGTCTTTAATAACTGAGATTGTTGTTTCATAGTTCCAGTATTATGATTTTTTATTTTTCTAATACATTTTCCTGTACTTCCAGGTACTTCCTACTTAACTGATATAGTATGGTGGTCGGGCACTATTGCAAGTAAGTATCTTTAAAAGTTTTGGGTTTTTTTTAGGAGTGCTTTGCTTAGATGGTAATAGGAGACGTCAGGAGGTCTGGGTTTTCATCTTTAATCTCACACTTCCTTGTCATGAAATTTCCATCCCTAGAAATATTCCACTTTTAGTAAACTCTTACCATGGCTACCGTGCCTGGTGGTGTTTGCAGAGGCAAAGAGCTGGGACAAACATGAGTCAGACATCTTTCCACATTTCCAAACCATTTGGTACTTGCAGCCCTTGGCAGCCACATACTGCTCTGCCTCTGGGTTCGTGCATGGTTTCTGTCTCTGGATTGCACTGGCCAGCTCAGTTTTTAATAAAAGTCAAAGCTGAATTAAAAATTGTTGTTGTGCACAAAAGGGCTCATTGAGCACATGTTATGTTTTAGATCAGAAAGCATTTAACCAGCCTCAATTAAAAAAAACCAAAACAAAATTCTTTTGGTTTCTTGTTCAACAGATACAGTTTCAGTTTTGCTTTTAATCTGCAAGATTAATGCAAAGCCTTCTCTGGTGCTGATATGAGATCACTGTAATTTTACCTTTAATATCTTTGTAACTCTGCTCACACCAAGTTCATTCTCTGATGTGAATCTGGAGCATGGTGGCAACTAGCTTTCTCCTCTTACATGAGCCCTACTTCTACCCACAAGCTTAGAATCATATCCCACTTTTAGATTCTAATCCAGCCTTTTGTGAATTATTTGGAAAGTTCTGATGCTGTTTCTGAGAAGTATATGAGTCCAGTTGTGCCCCTGGTATTGTGGCAGCAAGGTAAGTCTCTGATTTTTGGTTTTGTTGTCTTAAAGCTATGCAAAAGAAATGAAAACCAATAGATCCCATTGAAGGACAAAGTTCACAGCAAGTGTAGAAGCCAACAGAGCTTCAGAAGAAAAGTCCTCAGCTGGTTTAACCTGAGTTTCAGTAGTTCTTTGACAGCTTCCTCCCCTGACAGGATCACTACTGCCTAAGTAAAAGTAAATCTGTGCATCAGTCACTGCTTGTCACTCCTGAGGCTCCCATCTGTAATCTTTAAGCAGAAGGAGTTAAAAAGGGAGGTTTTATTGCAGAACTTATCTTGGTGAATCAGAGAAAACAATTTCATGCTTAAAAGAGCTGACTGAACTGAATGAAGGCAAAACAGCTGAAGGGAATGGTATCAGTTGGCGTTTTTCCAGTAACTAGATGCAGGTATTTCAAAACAAAACCTCAGTAGCTTTACTGAGGAACTGAGCAAGAAGAGTTACTTGTGGATATTACAGACTCAGAATGGCAGCACAGTCACAAACAGCAATAGCAAGAGCTGGGTAGGCACCTGTGGGATGGAGAGAAAGGTGCTGTGTGGGGAAAGGTGTTTCTTGTGGAATTAGCAGTACCCCCAGTTATCTGGATGAAATGATAACAGCTGACATCATTTTCTCAAGCAGAGAATTTTGAGTTTGGATGACTAACAAAAACCACATAAATTCTATCAACTTGTTCTCATGGTATTTGTTCACATGGTGGATTAAGTGTTTCTGTGTTGGCATGCTGACTCAGCATAATGCTGCCTAACCATTTGGGGGCCCTGGAATCCACTGGGTTACTGAAGACTTCAGAGGAAGGGCTGCATATTCTGCTAAGAGACTTTTCCTTACTCTAGTCAAAAGAGTGATTGCAGCATGTGTACAGGTATTTCAA